GGTTTAGTCTAGTCTGCCCTTGATTGGCTTAGAGTAGACTTGGTAGTCTTAGGTTAATGGTTGGACTGGATGATCTTAAAGGTCTTTTCCAACCTAAACAATTCTATGATTCTATGATACTTCTTTCACTAATTGTTGGAGGCGGTTATCTCTCCTGCACTAAAGGGCTTCTCCCAAAAGTCATGGGAAAGCTGAATCAATTAAACACATACTATTTTAGACCAAAGCTGAGCAATGTTTGCTTTAACTCTTTGTCACGCCCTTTGTCTGTGTGTCTCCAAGTGACGAGCTTTTCAGACTTCTCCGAAAACCCGCGCCTGGGTGCATGAGCCTGTGGAGGCGGAAGGCCTGCGACCGGGCAGGCGCTTTCAGGTGCTGCCCTGCCCGTTGTCCCCCGAGCTGCCGAGGACATTGCGGACAAGCTTCAGCGCTGGCTGAGCGGGAAGGAGCAGTGGGCATCTCTTGAGCTTTGGACAAGCATTTTGTAAGAGTTTGTGGGAAGAAACCTGAAGGATAGCTCAACGCGCTTGCAGGCAGCGGTGCTGCTTGCTGCTTGTGGCCACAAGAGCTTTGCCAAAATGAGGTAAAATACTGACAGTGGCCAAGAGTATTTTTTATTATTGCCTTTCCCAGTGGCCGGAATGATTGCATCTGAGCCATCCCTGCCTACAGCTTTTTAGTTTCCCAGACTACCTCGTTAGTTGCAGTAAATTCCTGTGTACCAGACCTCAAACAGCAGAAATTCATGTTTATGCAGAATCTTAAGCCAAAATATTCTGAATTTCCTCCCAGGCCTTGTACCGTAATGATTTGAGCCATCACTGAAATGAAAAAATGTAAACGTTAGATGTTTTTCTGTAATCTTTCTAGTCAACTTTAGGTATCCTCTGTGTTTGGTCTCTTGTCATCTACAACCCATTCGATCCCACAGCTGTACTGCGAGTTAAACCATGGCCCGTGGGGCTCAGCATCCAAATCTCCTGTCCCTGTGCAGAGGGGAAGTGAGCGAGGTGCCTTGTTTGATTATGATCCGAGATGGAGAATTTATTTACATCTAATTTGGCTGAGACCTGTGACCGGACACATCAGGACTGCGATGGTGGTTGGAGGGGTTGCGTCCCATCAACAAGTAGAAGCGCACTCACTGAGAAGAAAAGGTTGTTAGCCTTCCAAAATAAGTAGAGAAATGTTTTTGCATGGATATGTAAAGATAACAGTAATTGTCATGAGGTTTGCTGTCGGTTGCTCTTGGTATGCTTTCAGCTGTGAAAACGCCTACAAATGGAACAGATCATAAAGTTATCCTGGCATAGCATCTGAGAATGAAACTCCTGAAGTATTTCCTTGTTGTAGTTGCAAAGAAATGTGGAAATAATAAGGCAGCTGTTGTAGCGGCAGCAGAAGCGTCCTGCGGTACCATCTGTAGGCAGTCCCAGAAACCTCTCAATGGTGATGGCAAGTTAAAATAGCTTTGTTTCCTGGGATTTGCCTGTCGTGACGTGGTGTGCTCGGGCAGAATGAAGTCTTTCAACATTGCCATTGAATGAGAAAGGAAAGAAAGATTTAACTGAAAAGGTCCCTATTTTGGGTAGCCTTGGCTTGAGCGTGTCAGTGGAAGTATCAAAAGAGATTTCTGATAGCAGTTAATTTTTATACATTCACAAAGGAGATTGTGGAGTGGCCCTTCTGCCCATTTTCCTCATTGTAGTTTGACTTCACGATTTATCTAGCAAGCGTTTCCGTTGTTTTTCCTTAGGTGCTAAAAGAGTCCCCAAACTTGAGAAGGTATTTTGATTGCCTATTCATAAGATGTTGTGGAGTGTCCACAGGAGATGTTATCTCCTTACTGCTAAGCTCAAAACTTGTCACTTTTTCAGCTGTTTCAAGTTACTTTTTGTGTCTTAGGTGAGATTGTGAGCCCTTTTGTGGGCCATAGGGAGGGGTTTTCACAAACTGTTGCTTATACCAAAGCTTTCTATGATGATATTTTAACATGAGAACAAAATGGACTTGTATTGCTGGGCTTCATAAGTTAGCACATTTATTGAAGAGTAAGTCACAAAAAAGAATTGGTGTTAGCTTCTTCAGAGAGTAAGGTAAATCCTGCCTAACAAGACATCATGATGTAAAAAAAGAAGTGGACTTTTCTGTAATACACATGTATATTGTATGAGTAATACTCAAACTGAATTTTGACATAAGCAAAGAAAATTACTTCAACCCAAACCAGTGGGGCTTGTTTTTTTCTGGAAAAATCATCGACATCTCAGCCTGTGGGGCGTTGTTAAGAGACTGAAATTTGACAAAAGGTAGGGTAAGGATTGTCTGTGTGAATAACCAACTGCAATTAGATTCAGTCAAATGGTTGTAAACAGGCTTGAGGAGTCTTGCATTTATCAACGGCTTCATGCTCCGTTATCAAATTTCAAGGTTTTCAATTTTTTTTTTTTTTAAACTCAGACTAGTGTTTTAATCCATAGCTGAACTGCAGCAATGGAGGGACCATTTTTCCTGTGTAAAAAATGTTTGGACAGATCGAGGAAGCCTTTCCTATTAAGGTTTCATTGTTAGGACTGAGCTTCAAGTTACATTTAATTTTAGTTTTGTATAGACATAGAGTTTTTTGAATGGATTTTAAAAATAAGTGTATTGCAATACATTGGAGTTCATAATAAATGTCATTCTGAATAATGAATTCAAGCTTATAAATGAGTGTCTTATTTTAAGTCAGTGAAAATGTACTCTCAAGATAAAAATATGCTCATGGAAGTGCTGCTTGTGTAACGTGTTCCTCGAAATACCTAACAACTTGGTTGCTGAAGTGGTCTAAAATGATAAAAACACGAGGATATACTACCTTTCCGTAAAATCTGCCCTTGTTAAAAACAGTGTTGTTCCTTAACATTCCAGTGATCATCCGGTATTTTCATTCCCAAAGGATGCTGGTGCAGCTCTGGTGCAAGATGTGGCGTTTCCACTTGAGCTAAAGAGGAACTCTCCGTTCACTCTCACTAGTAGTAAGGTTTAGATACCATGTCCAGTTCAGCCTACAGAAAATGAAAGTTTTAGGAATGGATGGGTATGTCGGTTGGCTCAGTGCCAGTCCTGGCCAAATTCCAGCGTGGATAGTTACATCCTGCCTTCATCAGGCTCCTCTTGCAATGTCAGTTGCTTGTGGTAAGGGGGTTCAGGATTATGCCTCCGCTGAGCGGGCAGGAGTTGGAGGGTCTGGGTTCTCTTCTCCCACATCCTGGACCTTCTCTGTGTTATGTCCCCAGATAAGTTCTTGGAAGAGAAGAGGTGAGCAGGAAAATGAACAGAAATCCTTGGAATGACTAGTGCCTTTAAAGAAGCATATTTACAATGTATAAAATGTATGGTATTAACCATCTGTAGGATGGGCTTTATGAAACTCGTGTCCAAGAGAATGAAATGCTCTTGGCAGGGACTTGCATCAGAAGAAATTTGGATAAGCCGTGTGGAAGCTTCTTGCAATCTACTTGTTTGGATGGGGCAGTGTGACAGCTCTGTACTTGCCATTTTACTTGGGACATTATGCTTACTCCCTTGCTTCTACAGTAAGGTTTGAAAAGCAGATAAAACATCCATAACCCACTCTGGTGTACTCTGCAGATTTCCATGGGATTTCAGGTGTTAGTAGTGATTTTGGCAAGGCTGTGTGTGCAGCATTTCAGAGAGTGACCTGCTGAATATCTGTGTTTCCATATCCAGATGCTGAGGAACTGATTACCTACGAAGAATGTGAAGCAGTTTGGTGAATAGACTCATACTTTTCTAAAAATCCGTACTGCTTGTTCTGCTGAGTTATTAAATCTGGAGTAACCTGTTTTCAGGCTTTTTATTTTTGTGTTCCAAGTGTCATAAGCTTTATTAAAATTTCACTCATAATCCTATACAAATTTATTGGGACAAGCTGTATTTATTGACCTGGATAGTTTTTTATATGAATTTGATACAAACTAGTGAATATGAAACACAACTGGAACAATTTTAGGTGGATGAATGCTGTTCTCTGAGCATTCATTTTCCAAATAATAAGAAGAAAAAGGCAAGGAGGTTTTGAAAAGGGTTTGCTTCATCTCTTCACCCCTGCAGGACTTTACACACTCCTAAAGGCATGTGTTTAGTGAAGATGACGCTAGGTTTTTCTATCAAAGGAAAGACAGAATGAAGTATCAGCAAATGTACGTAACAACCTCTGACCTAATTCTGTAGGCACTGCTGTTGTGAAAATAATTTACTTGGTGTGGAGACTTCCAGATATTTCTCAGGAATGGTGATTCTTAAACCTCCCAATAAGATTGACGTTAGATGAACGCGTCCACCTTTTCCGTGTCAGATGCAGATAAAAGATTCATTAGCGTTTGTATATTAAAGGCAAAAGGTTGAGCATAGGAGATGGGCTTTCTTTGAGGTATACTTCAAAGCTTGTAAGTACTAGCGTGCATCAGCAGCCTTTATGCCCTGGCAGAGCTTTTCTAGCCAACACTCCTTAATAATTGAAATCTTTTGATTAACAACGCTGACTCATACGTCCTGGTAGCTGCACAATTCAGATCAATATTTTTCGTAACTTGCGGTATGCTGGCATTGCTAGTCTTCCTCCTTGAAGAGAAGTACTGCGTGATTCGCATGCTTGAGTTTCTGTAGGCATCTGCAGCTGACTCTTGTTGGGTACAAGAGACTCGCCGACCCTTGCGCTGGCCACGTGTGACTTCCCTGCTCCTGCCCTGCCTGCTCACGAGAATCTTTACCGATTGAAAACAGTTGTGTTTGTGGGGTTTTGGTTGGGTTTTTTTAAATAACCTCTGCTCAGGAATTGACTTTTTCTAGTATATAAAATACTTCTCCCGTTAGGCTTTCAACGTGAGACTTAGAGGTGTTTGAAAATGGTTTCAGCGTTTGTTTCATGCGATTCTATCCGCGGCTGCGCGTGCGCACTGAATCATAAGCCTTGTAGTTCTCGGCGTTGGCGCAAAATGTTCTGCTTGGAGCTGTTGGAAAAGCGTTTCCCTGTTCCTGAAGTGAAGCGCTTTCCCCTTAGACGTGCAAGGGTGCGATGGCACGTGGACCACCGGCGCATGCAGGTGTGAATGGTTCTGGGTCGTGCCAGGAGGAGGGAATTTGGTGAAACCCTGGCAGTGCTATCGGCAGATGTGGTTGCTCTCTGCTGCTTTTACCACTGTGTTAACTGAAGTTGCTAAGCTTTGGCAGTTTATCAGTAGCTTACCTTGCAATTTAAAATTATGGTGTTCTTTGATGTAAAGCGACGATCGTGCAGAGCTTAAGCAGTGAGAATGTTTTGTAGTTAGGTCTTGAAAAATAGACTATGTTTGTGTTGTCTTGTGTACCATAAACTAAGCCATTTTTAATTACTTTTGTTTTGGGTGTTGGAACCGTGCTTGCTCAGAATAGCTGGATTTTAGTAAGCATTTCAGGTGATGTTTACAAAAACAGTCTAAAATAGAGAAAACATCTGGTTTGGAAAGACAAGACAGAATAAAATAGTTACAGAAATACCACTGACGTGAAGGAGCAGAGCTGAAGAACCTAATCCATAGCAGAGCCTCTTCCTCTGTACAGCTGGGCATGTAACTGCTCCAGCATATTCCTCTTCCTGTTGCCTTCCCAGGCAGTAATCCTCCTGGATCCAGGATGCGGTCTTTCTTACTTTGTTTTAAATAATGAAGGGATAGATACATAGCCCCGGGCTCCAGGTTGTGTTACAGGTATCTGAACAATGATCCATTCAGAAAGAAATACCTGTTTAAGAATGTAGCAAAACTCGTCTATAACAAGCAGATCAAAGACTCTGTAAACGCAAATTAAAAAGAAAAAAAAAAAAAGGGGGGTAAAGTGGGTCAGATGCATGACATAATTTTGAGATAAGCTGTTGATAAGCCGCTGCTGCAAATATTTGTCTTTGAAACACTTATAGGAGGGTGGTTGATCCAGAAGGGAGCCTGGGGTTGAGGTCTGAGCTGTGGCGCCAGGGCTGGTAGTCCTCCGGAGAGCGCTGGGCAAGGTGTGCATCGGCTAACGGCAGAAGCTTTTCCACATGTTCCTTAAAACGCAGAGGCACTTGATGAACTGGAAGATCTTTCTACCTCATTATAGCTTGAGCAAGGACAAATAAAAAAAATGCGCTTTCTGGGGTTGGGCTGAGATGGAAGGTGCCGTGAGAAAATTTCCTTTAACGTAGGAGCCAGTGATGCTCCTTTTCTTTTTCTTTCCAAATGAGTTGAATGTGCATTCAGTTTACACGTGTTCCTCGCAGAGTCTCACAGTCCGCACAGAGATTTGAGCACCTTTGGGCTGGGTTTGGCCACAAATGACAAGCAGTGACCATCTACGTGGCAGGTAGCCATGGGCTGGCAGAACAGACAAAAACTGTGTGCCAGCTAGATACAGAGGATGCCCTAGTAGCGTTACTGGCTAAATGAAAAAGCAAAAATCCCAGCTCTACCTTTGCCTTAGAGCTGAAAACCTTTCCCTTGAGGCTGCAGGATGAGCATCTCAGCCTGACCATAGGATTACAGAATAGTTGTCTCTGATTTTACCTCTTTTTCTACTTAGGGAAAACAAACTTCAGCTCTAGGCTCATGTTCAGTTCCTGAAGTTTAGCTCTTGCAATCTAAATTAGACCTGCCCAGGGTGTTTGAGAGGTCAGTGCTCTTGGAGACTGCACTGGAAACTTGTTTGGAGAGAACTGGGGAGAGCTGGAACAATGTCAGATTGTGCTGGGAAAAGCTGCTTCACGATGGGATGTCTTCAAGGAGCAATTACAAAAATAACACTCACTGTCAGCTGATAGAACAGAGCAGGGAGTGGGTAATAAATACCAAAATCTGCTTTGTGTTCCAGCACCTCAAGATGTAAAGCTTTTCTATTAGAAGTTTGCATGGAGAATGGTAATTTAAACCAGCCACTCTTCCGAACAGCTTGTAGCTACATTTTAAATTTTAATGTTGATGAGTTGGAGATCTCTGTAAACATATGTACTTTTTTTTTTTTTTTTTTCATACAACCACAGAAAAACTTCGGGCCTGTCAGAAGGGTGTGCAGGCATCTAGATCTTGTTCTTTCTCCCCTTCTTATGGCTACTTGATAGGGAAGGTGGTGCGATTTGTGTAGACGTGTGTTTTAAGGCTACCTGCTGAAATCCCATTGAACTGAGAGGTGCTGTTCCAGGATTGACTGAGAACGAACACGACATTAGGCACATTAGGCACTACAGCTTTCCATCCTTCTCCAAGAAATGTTGTTTTCACATGTTGTGTGAAATGAACTTGTTTCCTTAATTGGCAAATGACCTGTGAAATTGTTTCATATAAGCAGTTATACCTTGCAGTAAATTTAAACTCAGTTTTAGTCCACTCAGCATCGTGTTCTTGCCTCGCAAACCGTTGAATAGATCAATTTTTGACTAATTCTGTTTATCATCCTGAGGTTAGATTTGGCAAGCAACATCTGTAACCTGCCACCATGAAAAATTATTTCCAACATGTTCTTCATTAAACTTTTCTTCAATATTCAGCTGTCACTGGAGGATTAGAGTTTTCTGCTGAAGAATTAAAAAAAAAAAAAAAAAAAGCAATGAAAATTGACTGTCAATAGTTCTGTATTAAAATCCCTTGAAGTATCAAGGTATGCAAGTTCTTTTGATTTAAATGTGTGTCTGTTTAGCAGTGCACAAACAGAAAATACCAGTTCTTCCCTTGCTAGCTTGCTGAAAAGTGTGCAACCCAAACTGACAACAGGAAAGGATAGAAAGAATTTGTTTCTAAATGTCACTTGAATGAAAGCAGAACCGATGTTTCCCCTGTCTTTCAGGGGATATTTTCATATATCTTATTTACAAAGTACTCTCTGCTCTATTAGAGAGAGAGTCTAGTTTCAGCTTGAAAAAATACTGTATCACATTCTTATACAATGCCTTTAATTCAGATGGATCTTGGAAACTCGTAATAGTATATCGCACAAACTAGCTTAACTTCAGTATTGCCTATCACTAAATGTAATCTGCCCAGCAAGAGGCTATGTGCACTGACCCTGCAAAAGGTAAAACCAGGAAACAAAAAAAATAATGTGGTATTCAGATTAAGCTGCTGTGGAAATTTAAGCAGGCAGCATGTTCTGAGGAATTAATTTTGGATAAAGGCTAATCTGCCACCTACCTCTGTGGCTGCCGGAGAGAGGGGCTGCTCCCACTAGCAGCTCGAAGCAGGGTCCTGATGTAGGTGGTACGAAATGCTGTCTGGAAGGGAACCCAAGTCCCTCTCCTCTGACTGCATGGGGAACCTGATAAGGAGTAAATACCTCTACCTGCAATTAATCTGTGTAAATACCTACAATTAATTCATCGTGTAATAAATTTGACTACTCTGTCAGCCTGTATCTGTTGCTCTGGGCCATTAACAAGAAATCAGGATCTAGTTGCAAAAATAACATGGAGGAGCTCGTGCCTATAAAATATTTTTTCTGTTATCACTGAAGAGCAAAATTACAGAGAGTGAGTTTCAGGTTGGTTGGTTAGAAGTGTGCTTGAGAAACAATACTGTATTTTTAAGAGACGGCGTACCCTTGATAAAGAATTTTGTCTGCTTGATCAGAATAAAATGTTCATGTTTCTCCATCAGGAGCAAGCAGAGCATTTACGCCATTCAGCAGCCTTAATATGTCAAAGTATAGAAAATTAGATGGCAAATTAACTCTCGGTATCTTTTCAGGAAGGTGATAGCATCACAAATCCCTGTGTGAAAGCCCCAGTTGCTTGACGTTTCCTCTCTTCAGCAGCCGGCGAGAGGAAACGCAGAGCACGGTAATGCCCTTTGCTCCGTGCCAGCAAGCATAGGATGTCGTGGCAGGAAAGCAGCCCAAGAGGAGAAAAATCCCTCTGGGTTATGCATGGCCAGTGGTCCCTTCTTGTACACCCGGGGTTTTTGCACGCTGGTTTTTCGCACCGCAGCAGCTGCCATCCTGCTCCCGCAGCACAGCAGGCATCTATCTGCCTGCGTGTCAGCTCCCGCCACGGGACCCCGCTAGGCTGCTATCGGGGGACCCCCGGTGCGGCGGCACCCCGCAGCGGGCAGCCTTGCTCAAGTGTGGCAGCGGGGAGCCCTCTGCAACGCTGGGGTCTGCGCAGTGCCATCCAGCCGGGAGGATGCGGATGCGATGTGCTCGGCTCCCTCCTGCGCCCCGGATGGAGCGCAGCTCTCCTCCAAGGAGTTCCCCTCCACCTGTTCCTCCCTCCCCGGCACGTTCCCATTTTTAATCATGCTTCGGCACCGTCCGTCTTGGGCACGTGCCAAGTGCCCTGCGTTCCCACCAGAAAATAAAAGTAGTAAGGCCAGCGACGGGGTGGGGGGATTAAAAAAAAAAAAAAAAAAAAAAAAAAAAAAAAGGCTAGAGTGACTTCAGAAAAAAAGCTATGTAGAGGAAAGGGAATGGCAAATGCCGCTGGTTAATTGAAGCTGTCCTCGTACAGAGAATCAATCTCCCTTTTTGTCGAGCAGTAAGAGAAAAGAAAGCTGCTTGATACATCTTGTGATGAAGGAATTAAGCCATGCATCTCCGAAACTCACAGGAAGAGAAGGAAGCCAGAGCTCATTCAGTCAAAGCAGAAGCCGCAACCAGAGAAGAAAGAGTTCACTTGAAGATAATTTTCTTTGATTAGTAAGAATTACCGTGCCAAAGCATTTGTTTTTTCAGTAATTGTTTCACCTGCCATTTTGCCACTCTGTATGTGTACATGTATACATATAAAAATAAATTAGAAAAACCAGACTATTCATTTGTGCTGTTTGCTTATACACATGACATGGGAGTAGTTTCTGTCATGCCATTGTAGCTTGGGAGCGATCCGTGGACGGGGTTTCTGGAGAGCGGCACTTACCCATGAAGAACTGGCACAGCTCTACTGTCGTCCTGCACGCAGGCGATGAACCTCGCCAGCCAGGAGACGTTGCTAACCTAGGGGTATTTTCAGGAGGACAATTTGGGGCTTCCCTTTACATCTGGAGGAAATGGGGTTTCATTCTAACCTCAACGCCCGCCCGAGGTTTGTTTGTGAACATCTGGGAGCTCCGTGCATGGGAGAATTGGCGCCTGTGCTTCAAACCTGCTGATAGCTGTTGGTTGTTTAGCTGTTGTCTGAGCATGTGAACATAGAGCTGTTTGCTTCATAGAGGTGGCTGACTGAAGCAGACAGTGAAGTACATACAGAAATTAAGCTTCAGTGCTGAGACCGTGTAAATTTTTCACAAAGGAAAGCGTTGTGCTCAAGCGGTGCAATGGGGTATTTCTTGTGTTGCGTTTATGTTCCAGTTACAGTAACCGTCTGAACCGTTGTTGTAAGGGTTAATAATATTAAGTGCAACTTTCTGTGGATACCGTAGCTCTGCGGTGGAAATGTTTTACCGGACAGTGTGCTTAACAATTTATCATGTTACCTGCTATTAAAGTCATACGTAGTATGAAAACCCGGGAATTGTTTTACGATAGCAATGTTAACTAGCAGTGCTTTTGAAAGGGATAATAAATAACTACCGGCCTCTGATATACTAAGGGGAGCGTGATCAGACAGCAATGTCCTGAGTTGAAACAAATACGTTTAATAGAAAACTTTAAATACGGCAAGCTTTTTGCATTTTTAAAGAATTTTTTCTTTGTTTACATAGAGGTGTTTATATCCCTGGAAGAGTGAAATGCATTTGACAAACAACGCGTCTCTTCTCTCTTAGATTACAGAAGTTTGTGGAGCTAAGCGTGTGGGTTATTTTGGTCCTGCTCAATTTTATATTGCTTTGAAGTTAATAGCGGCGGCGCAGTCAGGGTTCCCAGTACGGATTGAGAGCATTAAGAATGGTAAGTAGCAAATGTTGCTTGCAGCGCTGTGCACTTGTTTTTTACTTTCTTTAATGTTCTCTGTGGTGGTAAACTTTTCTTCTAATGCGTCTATGAAACACTTGTATTTTGAGGAGCAGAGGGAGTAGAAGGTAATGTTACATTCTCTAAGCGACTGGTAGAAAATTGCAGTGAATTACATGTATGGCAAAGCTGAGATGACGTCCCCCTCTGGAAGAGGCGTTACCAAAGGAATGGCACGAGTGACAGCTGATCGGTGCCAGGGATGTGTTTCTGGCTCACCTTCAGCCTCTGATCTTCACAGCTGTGCAGAGTGGGAGCTGCTAGGTGCTTTGGGCAGAGGCATGTTGTGGGGGGCATGGGCAGGTCAGGGGTCCCCCTGTGCAGGGCAGATTGCGACACTCATCTGTTTTAGCAAATAATCCTGCTGGAATAAATGAGTAACGGTGACAAAATCATAATGCTTCCTATCGGTAGGTATGAAAACGTGTATTAAATGTAATTTAAAACACCTTTATTCTTCCCAATGAACCGACAGTAATATTACATGTACCATTTTTGATGGAGAAAAATGCTTCTTAAAAGAGCCTTATCAAGCTCAAGCGATGAAGAGAGAAAGCCAGGTCCCTTTTAGCTGCGAAACCTTGGTAGCAACTAAATGGAAGGAACTCGATGTTCTTGCCTCGGTGATGCATGCTCTGCCCCCGTGATGCGTGCTCTGCCTCAGCAGGGCTTGGCCTTCAAAACACGTGGCTTTTCACTTGGGCTGGAGCCTCAGCGGGTTGGAACCCTTAGCTCCCATACCCCAGGTGGGCGTTCGAACCGTGCCGTGAGGCTGCGCTCGGGGCAAGAGTGCTTGCCCCCATCCCGCTGAAGGCAGCAACGCAGCCAGCCGCAAGGTCGGAGAGGAGGCAGGAAAGGCAGGACCTACCCATAGCCTCCCAATGGGTCGCTGCTCCCAGCACAGTTTCCGCTCTGCTGTCCCTGCTAAAGGCGACGAAATGTAAAATTCACCTGTGCTACGAGGCTCAGGGAGGGGGTTCCCGGGTGTGCCCCATCCCGGGGAGGGGAGGCTGGGCTGGCAAGCGCAGGGCGCCTGCAGATCCGTGTGAGCCGAGCTCCCGCGGTGCGGAGCTCCCAAGCGGAGGGGATCGGTTTGCTGGCAGGGGAGCGTAAACCAGGGGTGAAGTGGGGTGGCCTGGATTTGTCTGTCAGTTTTCCTTACAGACAGCTTGTGCGCTTTCTCTTGCATTGCCGTCCTTTTTAAGGATGTTAATTTGAAAAAAACCAAAACCCAACAAACTAAATTAGGAACCTGAACTAAGTGGGATTTACTGTGTATGTTTTACAAGTCCAACATCTGCAAATAATCCACAAATTTGAGTGAAGTGTACTTGCAGTCCTTGTATTGATATCCTGCTTGCTTACTGTTACTGAAGCGCTTCCAGTGCTAATTACGTTTTCCTTGAAATGTATGAGTGCCTTTAGAGTGGGGTGAGTAACATGCACCAAACTCCAACTGATTTCTTTTTCTTCCAGGTAGTAGCTGTAAGTGTAAATGATTACAGCCGTGATGCACAGCTTTGCTCAGTTTTGAGCGCTCTGTTAATTGTATTGATCTTCCAGGGGGACTGTGCACAAAAATAAATGACTTTTTTTCAAGATAATCACGAATCGCCTCAAAGAGTGAGAAAGTGTCACTCTCCTGCTCTGCGGAGCAGACGTGACATGGGACCTTCTGACGCAGTCATCTCACCAAGCCTTGGCGTGATCTCTGAACCCTACCATTTTTAATTTGTTCCTTTTATGATAGCAGCATTGAGGATACTGCAATCCTGACTGATTAATTCATCAGTCCCACAGTTTCTGTGGGAAACTATTCTTTTCATTACAGACAACGTTTTCAAGGCAGGAAATGAGTTTGCTGCCTGCCTTAATAACGTGCACAAGGCTTATTTTTTTCTCTTTGCATGGAGAGATTATATATTAAGCTAGTGAATGTAGCTTTCTGTAACATTTGCATTTTTATTAAGACATAAAATAATCATGGGGGTGCCACGCTTATAAACATTACAAAAATCTAAATAGTACTCTTTTCTAGATAAGCTTTTCATTGGTTTTACAAGATGATACTTCTTAAAGTACTTTTACTGTTCTGTTGTCTCAATTGAATTTTTCTCTTTTAATGAAGAATTGCCTCTGCCACGGTTTATGGCGCTGAAAAATGACAGTGAAGTACGTCATGGGACTCCAGCAGAACTCCATGGAGTTAAATTTCAGGTTCCACATGCAACTTTGGAAAAGAATTCGTACAAAAGAACAGATGAAGGTGACAAACAGGTAACAGGCTTGTCTCCTTCAGGCCAATATGTTGTTATGCATCCTCCTTTTGGGTCCAGCCCTGTAAATGATTACACTCACGTGGGCTTACTCAGTTTTGCGGTACCAGACAGGAGATGAACTCCTGACATGTAAATAATCCCCGTCGGGGCTGTGCTCTGATTTTGATGCATCCCAGTTGCATCCCTGAAGGGAATTTCTCTACTAAGCTTGTATAAAGCTGTCAGCCCTGTAATACTCTGTATAAATTCTTTCAGTCTTGTCCTCCTGCTTAGTCCAGTGCTGTTTCTTGGAGAGGGCTAGCAGGGGGAGCAGCAAATAGAAATCTGTCTGTGAAACAGAATGGGAAACCAAGTGATTTCTCATGGCCAGTATGATCCTTAGTCACTACAGAAATATTCAATTGGAGAAGAGGTGTTGCATCCTGAGCCACTATTTCTGGGTAGGATAAGGCCACCAGGTTTTCTTCCATTCTAATCTCCCCCAGGAGTAGTCCAGAAGAAATCTGCTTTTCTTTTGTCCTCAGTGAAACATCATCCCAGCCTCTGTTGTTCCAAGTTGCCAATTTAATAAAACTGTCTAAGGGAGATTTGTATTACCTGTATTTAGGAGAGCTGAAAGCACTTATTCAGATACAAGCAGCTTCACAGCGCAACCTTGATTTTCATAATTTTCCCCAGGCCTGACACCACCTCTCCTGGTGCCGTATCAGGTTGTGTTGCAGGTGCTTTATCTTCCCACAACGTGCGCAGGCATTTATCACACGGTGCGTTGGCGTGAGTAACGGCGTTTCCAGCCTGAGGTCAACCAACAGGAATGAGCTGATGACAAGATATAATATGGGTGGAATAACAGGATGAGGAAGAAGAGCATGTATACCTGTCTGCCTGTGTGTACTGACACTGAAGCAGAATGCTGCCCTCAAAGCCCAGGCTCCATCTAGATTATCTGTGTGGTGTGCTGTTTTCCTTTTTACACAGTAAACTGTTTCAGGATCACATCCTCTTCTTAAACAATCTGTAAGTCAAGGTAAAGAGAACTCTGTAGGATAGATACCCACTCACACCTACAAGTCCACAGAGTGCTTAAAATACCAATTCAGAGATTTATTTTAATTTTTGTAAGTGTTTTGTATGAAAAATGCTCTCCCACAAATAATGCAGTCAACATAACTAAATGTGTATGTGAATTCAAAAATATCCATTCACATTAAGCATTCTATATATACTTCTTCAGGCATCTTTTGGAAGTAAAATACCTTAAGCTGTTCATTGTAAAGCTTTGCTATGGCATTGCCGTGCTTTACCCCTAGAAGGCTCAATACCAAATTCTGTCTTTACCAACTTTTGGTTTTTAAGGAGCCTTTTCTTGGAAATAAAGGGCCTCGGGGAACTGCAGTGTTTGCCTTTTCTTTGTCCATAATGCTGTATGCGTTCGGATCGCCCTGCGGGATTACTTTGTTGTTTTGCTGTCATCTCAGAATTCCATTTTGTGTTGGTGTGTTTTTGAAATAGGAACCCAAGTCTCCACCGATGTCTCCAATCTGCTCACCTCCTGCTTCTCCATCTACTTACCAGAGAATACCCTTAAGTTATGGATATGGTAAATCAAGAAGTGGGCTGGAGCAGCAACATGGAGGTAGGATAAAAATTGGGATGTTCACATTGTAATCAATTCTTTTTTTTTCTTTTTTTTTTTTTTTTTTTTCTTCTCAGAAACATTCAAATTTCAAATGCAACTGACAATCAGCCTAATGATTTTAACATTTAATTAGACCTGTGTTTTGGAAAACGATTCAATCATCTGATTTTATTTTGATTGTTCAATCCTGTTCACTTTCTGGTAAATTAGTTAGATTTATGTGCCACTGCTCACAGATAAATGCTAATACCTAATCTCAGACAAGACTATGTGCAATATATCACAGTGTTTGTGAGTATTTTCAGAGTTCGTGGTGCTTGTGGTTTCATTAGAAGGGAAGAAAAGCCCACCCCTGATTTCAGTAGCTGCGACGTTAGTTTTCAGATGGGCAGTGAACCTTCCTTTGTAGGAAAGGATAATCATCTCTCTGGTTTCGTAATGGAAATAACAATAGGACATGAATATAAACATAGTCCCACAATGTAACTTAGGCACAACAGACAAAAATAAGGCACTACATAGATGCTCTGTCCTTGATCTCACTGCCGTTAGAGTAGCTGGCAAAACATTCTGATTTTAGTAAGAGGGTAGGGGGGCAGAAGCCAGTTTTACTAAGGCTTTGCAAGCTTTGTTAATAGTAAATTGCCCGTGCTCTCCGAATTGCAACACCTGGTGACCAGGGGGGTGGCAACAGCGGGCACTGGTGTATCCTGTCCCTCCATCATCCCTCCTGCTTTCAGTGTGTGCCTGCAGCGAGTGAGGAGTAGAGCATGCTAGTCCTCCAGCTGTCGTCCTCGTTTACAAATGAGTGAAAAACACAGAGCTATTACAACATTTGGAGACTCGCTACAGCCATGATAAGAATGTGTTCAATGCTATCAAGTGGCCTTCACGTGAAAATCATACCAGTACTGAGTCACGGGCATTCGTTTGCCGGTTAGGTAAACTGCTGTTTGTTAGAGGTGGGATTTTTACCCGCCTCACCCTTGGCATAACGGATCAAAACAGTGGTGGTTGACTTCTGAAATAAGCAACACTAGCGAGGTCGTCTTCTGGTGCGACGCGTGTTCCGCTCCAGTGAAGAAGACGTGTGCCCGACAGCCCGCGCCGTGAAGAGCCGGGCAGGAGGCGGCCGCCGGGAGCAGCCGACCGTGTCACGTGTTGCGCGCTCTGCTGTTTTCTGGGACTCTGTCCCAGATCTGTCAGTGCTTTGGGGGCGTATTTTGGGTGCTGGGGTTTGTTTGTTTTTTTTTTTTTTCCCCCCTCCTGAATTTGGTTGCAGTCATAATTTCAGTGAAATTTCTCCTGGAGTCGGCGGCTGTGCAAAGTGAGTCGAGGCAGCAGTGTCCAATCCAGCTGTCAACTTCTTCTAACATTTATTATTCAACTGCTTGAATTTTTGAGGTGATAAAATCCTAGAGGTGTAGAACACTATGGTTATTTTCCAGAAAGGGAATCTCTCCTATTTTAATCCCACTGCGGATGCTTCAGCCGAATGCGTCCCCAGCGGCAGTAAGTGGGTAAGATTTTATGGCCCGTGCTGTACCGAGTGCCAGGCTCGGTGGCCAAATGCTTCTTCCTGGCCTTCGGACCCTTCCAGCTTTCTGAAGAGCCCCCGCAAGGGTGGGTCTGAAAGCCACCGCGTTCCTGTACGCGCAGGAGGTGCTAGTGGCGCAGCGCTGAGCCGGGTGGGCTGCTCTGCGCTGCGGGTCTGAGCCTGGAACCAGGCAGCCTGTCGTCAAGGGCAGCCCTTCGCGCTGCAACCATCACTATATACTCTTCTTTTCTTGATTGTTTTGGAAGTTTTTCTTGGTAGCAAACACACAGCGGTGTGGCCTTGTGCCTAAATCTCCTCTGCAAGGGCGTCTGTATGTTTCCCAACTTCCTTCCCCTGTTTTGTTTTGGTTTTTTTTCCCTCCTCTGAAATTAGAAGTTACTTGTACAGGAATAAAAATAGATACCAATACAGGATAAGACCACTCAGGAAGGCGAGAGGGTTAGGGGTATAGTTTTTAAGGTCTTCCTGAACTCAAAATTTTTAAGATTTCTTGGTCTCACTTTTCATCAAGAGTCTTTTAAGTTCTGTCTGTCTAATGCAAACTGTCTTTGTGGTGGTACGTTTTAAATACACCGCTGGCAGCAGAAGTTCTCAGCTCTGTAAGGGTTTGCGAGTGAGTTGCCTTTGTGTTTGCATACTTGACCTATTTTTAAAACATTGTTCTTAAATGTGCTGTTATGTCATCGCTTACTATATTTGCTGCAGTGGAACGTAAGTGACTTATTTTAGCAAAAGAAGAAGTAATTGTTACTTTTCTTTACTAGCTTTACTCCAAATAATGCGAGATGGTGAGTCATGTATTTCGATTTTCAACAGAAATTAGGGAAGGGGGAAGAAGAGTATATGGAAACTTAGTGATTTACTGTTTGATAGCGTTGTCAGAGCGTATTTTTTTTCAGCTCAGTTGAATTATTTCTTATTTATAATGCATTCTTGTGCTATGTATGGCTATAAGTATATAAAATGTATAAATATAAAGCAGGCTATATAAATATATACCTCAACATGATGAACAATGATTTCTGCTATCTAGTAATATGTAACTGACAGTTTCTATCAGTAATGTCTGAGGAAGAGTGATGTAACGTGAAAGACAAGTATGTGGCTGGAATTTTGTTGCAGAAGACAAAATGGACTTTGATATGGTGATACTAGGTTCACAAGCTAGATTCTTGACCTTGTGGTATTTAATTATTTCCTTTAGCCTAGTGGAATCTTTCTGATTACCCTTTCATTTATACACTTTATTTTAAATGTCTGTAGCTCCTTATGAAGTCAGACACTCTACTCACCAGCAAGATGGACCATCATCAGGGAATTACGGAACCAAACCGGCACTCGCCTGTTCAACTCTTAATCGGGTAATGAATTGCATGTGTTTCTTTAGTAATACTACTAATAAAACAATAGAGAAATAAAAAAAAAAAAAAAACACCACAAGAATTCTCACTTCAAAAGTAAAACGTGTTCTCCATGGTGTTTTTAGACTAGAGGCTGAAGCGTGCTTTTTTTAGTATATGGAAAAAAAAGCTGATGGGAAAGAGAAATTAAAATAAATAATCCAATTAATTAAATTGCTGAAGCTAAGTAGAATGAGAAGCACCAAATAGCACAGATAGGAAAACTAGACTGAGAATCTTCAATTCAAAAGTTAAAAAAAAAATATTGAGGTTATCCTAGGAAAAGTAAAACATTTTCATTTAAAATACATGAGGTTTCATAGAGATTCCTGCTTGATTTAGAATGCTGTCTGTAACACATGCACTGGATTTATGGCCTAATATTATGTGTATTGTGTTTTTTCACCCCAGTTGATTAAACCACATCTCAAACAGAATATATTCATTTCTGCATATTTGTTTGCTTTTATGAGATGGGTCCGCTGTTTTCCTGCTGGTTGCAAAAGCAGATCTTTCCAGTGTTCCAGTATGCCTCCTGTGCACTGACTATGCAAACAGGTAGTTTGCCCTGTGGAAGGACAAAGCTCTCCTGAGGGAGAGCTTTTCTTAAATAAGCAAGACTCGGAGACTCTGTACCTTTTCCTTAGTGCTTAGCACCCCACACCCATAATAAAATGTCATTTGAGCCTGAGGAAGAGATCTGCAGGTAGTGTCACATAATTTGTGCTAACTTGAAATGAAATAGGGTGCATTTGTGTAGCCCTTTGAAATGAAAATTAATTTACAGCTTTATGATGTTGCCTGTTTTGGGGATATTTTGATGTATTTCAGAACCAGTGTTTTGCGTTTGCTGCTTAGGAAGTGGACAGGTATGTCAGAGAAAGGGTTGCGGAGCTGGCTGGAGTCTGATTATTGTTCATTCTTGCCCTCCCTCTTTGAAAGTGTTGTCATCCAGGCTTAAATCGTGAATACTAAGTCATTGCAGTTTAACAAAGGCACTAATTGTACCGGCAGCCCTCCTCTAGACGCCACCACCCAACCTCCCTTAAACAAGTTAATTAGAAAGCAAAGACCTACATGGATAAAATGTCTTTCTGCAGAATATTCTTTTTCCTGAAGGAGGATTTTTACCTAAACCATGGGAAGTGACGGAAGGTCAAGGAGGTCTGTAGGGGTTTGCCTGCCTCCTTGGCTCAGCGCAATGTGTGCAGAGTTACCTGGGTGAGCTGAGAGCCCGAAAGCGGTATAGCTCTGTAGTTACAGCACCGCTCCTAGACTAAATACATGGTTTCTTAGCAGAGCTAAATTTTCGTGCACCGTGCTGCATAAATACAGCTTTAGGTCCTTCACTGGTTCCATCCGTTTCGGGTGTACCGTGTGCAGTTCAGGGTTGTAATGCGTGGCAGCCAAAATGAACCCCCCAAATGAATCCAGAGGTAGTAAGGTATGACTTGGACTTTCCTTTTTGCAGTGAGCAGCAGTAAGATTTCCTTTTTCTTTTAGCGTCAGTCGTGTAAACTTCCTTTAATTGCCTGGTTAAAGGTACCTAATGTTAGCCTCAGCTTTAACAGCTAAGTAGCGGGCTGGTGGTCAGGGTGGCCCTTTCTGCTTCTGACGTTTTTAAAATACGTGTCTGCTCATAGAAGAGAGTGAATGTGGTTCTGGGGGTTGCCAGTGCCCTGCTTGGCCCCTCTGCCCCCCGCCTGCGGCCGGTGCCAGTGTCCTTCCCTTCAGTCTCTTTCAGCGGAGCGGGAGCAGCAGGACAGCAGCGCCCACTACTCGGATGACCCTTGGAGGATAACGGAGGAGCAGCGGGACTACTACATCAACCAGTTCAGGTCCCTGCAGCCCGACCTGAACTCCTTTATTTCAGGTAATTTTTACCAAACACCGTGCACGTCAAGTTAGAGGGACCAGGCTGAGAGGTGCGAAGTGTTAAGCAGATAAATTAAATTCTTTTTTTCTCTCTCGACTGAGTTCATGAGAAAGAGTCGACTGCATTTTCTTTTTAAAGGCAGACAACTCAAAGAGCAAGCCAATACTGTGGGCGTTATGGTTTTTCCCAAATATTCTGATTTTAGGAAAACAGTTACATCTAAGAGAGAAATGTTGCAATTCAGTAAAAATTAAAATGAGCTCCCACTCTAAGGGATAAAGAAATTAGGAAAAATTTCTTTACGGAAAGGGTGGTCAAGAATTGGAACAGGCTGCCCAGAGAGGTGGTGGAGTCCCCATCCCTGGAAGTGTTCAAAAAAGGGGTAGATGTGGCACTTCGGGACATGGTTTAGTCCAGTCTACCCTTGATTGGCTTGGAGTAGACTTGGTAATGCAGGTTAATGGTTGGACTGGATGATCTTAAAGGTCTTTTCCAACCTAAACGATTCTATGATTCTGTGACTGTATTTGTGGATCACACCTGCAGTGTATATTGAGCTGAAAAAACCCTTAGGGTTGTGCTTGCTTTCCCAGCGGAAACGTGGCAGCGTCGGTGTGACGAAAGAGAAGCACACAGTTACCTGTCCTGTGTGGTCAAGCCTGAGTGTTTATGGCTCTGAGGGACTGAGGTTTTGACCTTTAGGTGATTAAAAGCAAATCCTGGAGAGCACACACATGGTAAAAGTATTGTTAAAAGCATGTTGAGATTGCATTTCCATCCTGAATAGGAGGATCAGGCTGCGCGTGAGAGGAGTCACTGTGGGTACAGACAGTTGGTCTGGCAAGGAAGACGTCACAGGTTTTAAATTGAGTTGGTTTAGAATAGAATCATAGAATCGTTAGGTCCTCTCTCGGTTTTACTGAGTCCTGCTCTATTGCTGGGGTTCAGGAGGCTCGAATCCAGCCAAAAGTTTAAATAAATTACCTGCTGCTGACAGAAATTAGTGCTTCACCAGTTCATTGCCTCAGTTATGTTCCCTTAATATAATTTGCTTGAAAGAGAAAATGGTTGTTCAACAACATGGTATTTCCTCACAGACATATATAAGTCTGTAACTGTGTATGTATGTATGTATATATGTGTCTACAGCCTCTCAGGTAGCTGTGCATTTTCCTTTACATTGAGCAAGATTCTCAGGCAGTCCTTGTACATCCAAAATTACTGTTTATAAACAATAAATTTGAGCTTCCGCAGCATCCTAAAATAATTAAGCTGTAGAAATCCTCGCTGCAGGGCGATACAGATGCTAGAGGTTTGCCCAGGTTTAAGACATTCTTTGAGAAATCTGTGATTGAAAAATCTGTCAGAAGTCACTGAATATCTCCTCTCTGAGAAAGTTCCTGAATCGCAGGGGGTCAGAAACTGGGGGATGTTCTGGAGCTACGTTATTATCACGTTGGCTTTGTCATGGTCACGCAGTCCTCTCTTGGCACCCCGTGTTGGAGAGGAGATGCTGCGCTAGGTGAGCCTTGGACCTGCCCCAGTTACAGCTTTTCTTGTGCCCTGCGGTGGGTGATCTGACCTGAATGCGCAAGGGGAATGGTAGCGGAGACCTTAGAAGCCTCTGCATTGCGTTGCCTTATGTTTTCTAAGCCTATATCTAGGAAGGGCGTCCAGAGCGCAGGGATCTTGTGCTACCTCTATAGTCTGTGTGTATGGGGTGGTGAAATAATGGATTTATTAGCTAGGAGAAGAATGAGAAGGGCTGTTGTGGCAGGGTGAGCGAGGATGCCTGCAGCAGCACCGTAGCTATGTGCTATCTGAATCTCCTGGGTTTTTTTCTTTTTTTCTTTTTTTCTTTTTTTTTTTTTTTCATAACACTTGAGCTACTGCAGAGAAAACTTGTGGTTGAAGCAGTGTCTTGAGAGCAGTGCTGTACTGCCACACAAATGGCTTCTGGATGAAGCAGAGCCGTTTGTTATTTCATCATTGGTGGCATACTAATTCTGCTGGTTAGAATCACTAGTGCTGAAGCGTGTTTTCCTTTTATTTATTTTTCCCACATGGAGGGAATGGGGAAATGAGGTCAACAGCTCTGTCTGGTTTTCTTTCTCACTTATTCACCAAGAGACAAATGGTCCAACAGCTATATTAGCATCCAGTTAATCTGAGCATCTCTTGGATGAAAGTAACCAGCTGCTTCTGGCGCAGCAGCCCTGGCCAAAGGTAAATAATTGGAGAATTAATTTCCAATGGTTGATAAGGCGTGGTTTCCCAACAGGTTCTGTGGCAAAGAATTTCTTCACAAAATCAAAGCTGCCCATCCCAGAGCTTTCTCACATCTGGTAAGTACTGTGATAGTGTTGGGGATGTGTATCCTGTTTTTTTTAAAAGACGCTTAATTCAAGAGTTCTTGTTAGATTTTTCAGAAGTGTCTTCAATTATGATTATTGCTCTTATCTCCGGAATCGCTTTCAGGCCTAAGCAGCAGGGTGCTCATTGATCTCCCTGACACGCTTGTTTTCTGGAGAGATGTTCGCCTACTCAGCAGGACTGGGAAGGTTTGAACAGCGATATAACTGAGAGCTGTTCTTAAGTGTATTGTAAGCAGCATCATTAGCTCAATGAACTGACATTTTTCATGAAACGACACAGAGGAGAAGCACCTCTGGAATCTTTCAGATGCGTTGTTGGTTTTATGTTTCTGGCTGTGTTTTGTCAGAGGAGGCCTAATTAATGCCTGATTTTTATTAAGTACAACTACATAATTCATCAGTGCTTTTCTAATGAAGCAGCACACTTACTTTTAATGAGCTTATTTAGAAACAATTGCGGATGGAACTGTACATGATAAAATTTGACAAGGATTCTATTATAAACAACATGGCGCTTTGTAGTTCAGTGTCATCCCTGCATCTCAGATAGGCAGAACAAACAGTTTTAAACGTTGATCAAAAATGCTGATAGAATTTTTACTTTTATGTATGCTTTTATGAAGAGAGATGAGAAGAAAAGCTTGTAAGAGCCTAAACATCTGTCGGGGTCAAAGAATATGTCTGGAATCTTTTCAAAGCGGATTGTCAGTTGTGAAAATAAAAAAAACAACTGAAGAAACATTGTGTTGGGGGAAGTGAACATTGGAATTTAAATTTAAGATTATTTAAGAAGAATGGATTAACCCAGTATGTTAACAAAACACATTTTATTTCTGTTGCTGACGCAAGTTGTCCTCTGTGCAAAATTTAAAGAAAAGTATTCCTTTCTAGTACAGAATTATAATTTTGTGATGATGTGATTTATCAAGTTGTGTCGCTGTGTTAAACACATGGGATGTTTCCATCTTTGTTACTATAACCTCAACAGCTTGAAAAACGCTCATTACCTTCAAAGAGTAGGAAGTTATATGTTTGTTTATTTTAGCCCATGTGCTAACGATAAAATAATACTTATTTCTTGCAAAGAGTTAATTTACAAATTTGAATTCTTGAGTTTCTGAAGTCCAGTTTTATTGGTTGAGAAGCATCCTAGAATTAAGGACAGAACAGCTTTAGTGAGCAGTTAACAATAACATTTAAACTTGTCAAAAGCATTTATTTAGCTATTTCCTTGAGGCTAGTCACTGGTGCTAAGTGGCCATTTGCTGAAGTCCATTTTTAACTACTTCTGCTTGCACTGTTTAAGATCTTGCATGGATTAGCCAAAACTAGCTAACAGTTAATTTCACCCTTGGAAGTAGGGGATATGTGTTTCATGTTACAATGTATACATACCATCTTATTGTATGGTATGACGCATAACAAAAAAATGTACTTTATTAAAAAAGAAGAAAGTGACAAGTCAGTATTAGAAAATAAGCTTGCTTCACTTTCCCCGAGACAAGTGTACAAGTTAAGATCAAGTGCAAATGACAGAGATGCTTGTGTAGCAGGAAGATATCTCTTCTCAAAGTTGCATTTCTGTCTCCCCGTGATCGCACACGTATGTTTCCCTGAGGTAAGGGCTTGGAAAACATGTGCCTGTCCTACCCGCAGGGAGCTGAGCGACGTGGATTGCGACGGGGCGCTGACGCTCCCGGAGTTTTGTGCCGCTTTCCACCTCGTGGTTGCGAGGAAGAATGGTTACCAGCTGCCGGAGACGCTGCCGGAGACGCTGCTGCCCGAGTACCTTCAAGCAGGTAACGTCCCTGCGGCAGGTCGCGTTCCCGTAGCCATCGCAGGAACCCGACCTGCGTGTAGGACAGGTTTTGTTTTCCATCCTGAGGGTAGGATGGGGTTCTGCACTGCGTAACGGCTCTCTGGTTGCTTTTTAACACATGCATTTTTAATTGTGCTTACGAGGTGATTGCTGAAGAAAGAATGTATCAAAGCACAAAATAGCAATGCAAAACGTAGAGGTTACCTGCCCCTTAATGTCTGCTTCTCTGCTCCAGTGTGCTTCAGGTGTCATTACAACTAAAGCGGCAGGTGGTTATCTGTAGCAAAGATAACCTAGCAAGACTTATATGGCTTTTGACGATTTTCCCCTATGTACCTGTCTCTTGAAGATGTGTTCAAAACAATACTGGACTGCTTTACAACTTACTATGCCAATATATTTTGTTGGATGCAGTCACCGGTTGTATCAAAGGTTGAATTTTTTTGTAATTCGTTTTATGTAATCCACAGATTCTTCTATAAGTAATTTGCAGTAATGACGGGGGGATTACAACAGTTTGTGTAGCACAAGGATAAACTAATCCAAAATACAACATACCTCAGTAACAATGTGCAGTGAGAGACCTGCTTTTTCATTTGTTCTCTTCAGTTCTCTCTCTTGTAATTATGAATGAACATTGAAGTATATGCTGTTCCATCTAAAAAAATGTGGATGTCTTTCTAGGGCAAGGAGGATTAATCACAGATGATAATTACAGTGCTAAGGGATAATATTTAAGACCTAATAAAATCTCCATTAAATTTGATGACACTGAATATATTAAGAGACAGGAGAAGAGCAAATCAAGCTGTAGTTAGGAAAATTAAATGTTCACCCTGTATCAGATTTGTGAAGTAATTTCTGGCAGAGTCATGTTCCTTATAATCCACTGTCTTCATATCCAAGGGGAGAAGCTCCTGTAAAACCTGCACCTCCAAGTCTTCATCGCTTTTAGTCTCTCTAATTACCTTCCCTTGTCATAATTACAACTACCCTTTTCCCTCCAGGACCACCACTTTGTTGGCTACTTTCATGCCTGTTCTCATCATAAATTAGCTTGTAAGCTCCTCCATGCAGGTTCTTGTTGGTGTGTCTTCATGTTAAGCCTTTTTGGGTAAAACTGCAATGGAAATAACTATCTCTAGTAGTAGGGGATCATTATGTCAATGGGAAGAAGAGCACGGTAAGCTGTGGTTGTTCCCTGGGAGTCTTCTTTTTCCCGAATTTGTCCCTTTCAGCACTGGGGTCTTCACCATTTTCTTAGATGGTTATTGTTTCATGGTGTTGCATGCAATCAGGCATTTCAAGCTGATCTACGTGGAAGAGGTTGAAAGGACTAAATGTTTATTACGGGCATTCTAAATACCTCAGCTAATGTGCTAATTCTGGTTAGCTTGAGGGTCTGAAAATGTCTCGCGCTTGTTCTGCTGCCTGGTCAGGATTCAGAAATCTGCCTTTTGAAAGACTCGTATTAATTAAAAGCAGAACATCTCAACACACTGTAACACCGTGAATCACAAGAAAGCATAGACCCCTGATTGCATCAACTTCTGAAATGAAAGCATCGAAAAGTAAGCAAGTGCCTCATACACTTACCTAAAATGTCAAAAGAAATTTTCAAGACAAACTTTTTGTTTTCATGCTTTCGTGTTTTGATTTCTGTGAAACTTAGATTTTTGGGTGTGTTTTAGGGTTGGGTTTTTTTTTTTTGGGGGGGGAGGGGGGGGCTTGTTAGTAACCTGATGATGATTACCGGAAACTGGTTTTCATTAGGTTGTTGTATTCATTTCAGAATGAGGCAGAATTTGGTTGAAGTGAAGTATTTGCATCTGATAAGAGTGTTAAAGCTTCAAATAAAGTGACTTGGAGTGTAAGACAGAGAGAGCATTTAGGAATGAATTAATCTTGCTAGTTTTATGGCTTGTTCTATAAACTACAAGCGCAGGGCCCGGTGCTATCCTGGCACAGCTCCATTGACAATTTGACCTACCACCTTTTCTGAAAGTTTTTATTAAAACTAATTTGCAGAATCTGTAAAGCGATTTGCCCTGTATGTAACCTACTGTATTGTAAATTAAGACAGATTTGCAAGAGCTTAATTTATTCAGATAAACTAGATGCTAGCCAGAAACTAGAAATGTAACGTGAGAATGGGTTATTCTGCCTTTCAATATACTGACCTTAAAGAAAAACTGTTTTCCAGCTGTTAAGATAGATTTATCTCGGAGGAACTAATCCCAGAGTGGTATCAGCAGAAGGACCTGAGCTTGTGGAATATAAATGAGGTTCTTGTGAATATTCCTGTGAGAAGTTAGAGTCAATTTTTTTTCCCTTTCTTTTTTCTCCCCCCCAGCTCTCAATGCTGTTTAGTTAAAGATGGTATATACTGCAGAATCTACTGTGTTTTGTGTCCTTGGTTTTTGCTGGCCTTCAATTTTAGTGTATAATGTAGATTCTACTATATTTTTCCATATTCAAAATGTCAAAAATCGGAGTTGAAGGTTTGGTGAGTACCTTTAACATTCCTAAGACAAAAACGTATAAACTGTAAGGCCAACTAAGTTGATACGGGACTGTGAGGAGGAAACATGCAAATAAACGGTTGTTGTTTGGGACTTTGTTTACTAAAAATCACTTCTTCCAAATTTCACAATTATTTCTACAACAGACATTAACATGTTATCCCTTTCATGACATTGAATTATTCAAAATACAAGACAAAGATTTTCTTCATGGTGTTTGTCATCCATGGCTTATAGATCAATTCTGATATGTAGAAATGAATGGCAAAGTGATGCTGGAACAGTTTTTTAAGAACCATGTATTAACCGAAGACTTGGCATGTGTCTTTTTTTTTTCTTTTTTTTTTCTTTTTTTTTCTTTTTTTCTTTTTTTTCTTTTTTTCTTTTTTTTGCTTTTTTCTTTTTTTTCTTTTTTTCTTTTTGCTTTTTTTCTTTTTTTTTCTTTTTTTTTTTTCCCTTCCCTTTCCTTTTTTCCTCCCCCTGCAGCTTCTTTGAAGCCCATGCGTGACTGCGCACTATTTGATTCTTATTCTGAGTCGTTGCCAAGCGGCCAGCAGACTCGGGACTTCAGTCGGACAGAGGTAAGAAGGCATAAGCAGGGTGGTTAACCGTGCGGAGTGCAGAGGAATAGCCTCACTTCACGACGGCTGTGGTATGCACAGCAGCAGAACTGTGAGTCTTTGAGAGGACTTTAGGAGTCTCTAAGCCATTAGAGCCATTAAGCCATCTCAACCCCCTCTCTCAGCAATTTGTTGAGTGTGTGGAAAGGGCTGACAGGTTTTTCAGAAGATATTCGCACGTAACAGAGTTCACAATAGTCGTGAAGGGACTCCAGCCTTGTGCAATGTTGGAGGCTGCAGAGAAATACGCCTTAGCTGTCCGTGTCCTGCGAGGCTGCATTTGTCCCTCCGGCACTGGGAGCCAGCGCCCGTGCTGCGGGAGGGACGGTGTGGCACAAGGACAGTGCTCAGGTGAAAACTCTCCTGAATCTGAATTGGTCGAAAATGGCAGGCTTCGGGTGCAGACCTTGTTCTAGTCAGGAACTCCTGACTGTGTAGCTCTTGAGTGTTTATTCCATTTGCAGTGCTCCATTTCCACACTCGCTCCCCCAGTTTTGATGATGAGAAGAAAAATGTCTTGATTCCTTGTACTTTGCTTCTTTGGAGGCTGAAACTGTCCCAGATTTTGTACAGTATGGACATGCATAGCTCTGTTCTAAGCGATTCAGTCTCCACTTTAATATCCAGCCTTTTCACAGTCTAAGGAACTACCATCTAAGGGTCTAGGTAGTAGTTGTAAGGAGCTGGGAAGAGTGTTTTGAGGGAAGAATGGAGGTCCATTGAAGCAATATCACAACAGACGCCAGCCTTGTAAAGGACGACTGTTGCAAGCAAAACTAAATTAAGGAGAAGAGTTTATCACTGAGGTTAAAACCTGAAACTTTAAAGATCCTGTAAAGCTGAACTAACCATGGCCCCTGAGTTGTGCCTGGATATTGCAACTCTGAGTATATATGCTGTGGGATTTAAGGGTTTAGTATTTAAGGTAGTGAATCAAATGGCAGACTGTGAGAACTTCAGTATGCGGTCGTGTGGCAAAGCTGAACAGTCCCTTGAGAGTGAGCCTCATTAGCATACATGTGTATTGGTTTGCAATTTAAACAAGCATAAGAGGCAAAATTCAAGGTGATTTGCGTTGAAAACTCATTTGCTGATGTCAGCATGTGTATGCACGTATATACATAACTCCATTTCCAGACTGCAGTAAGAGTCAACTGAGTATTTGAGCTAACTCACTGCATCAGCTTAAGATACTTGTTTTTAGAGAGAAGTATTTGTGTTCTGCTTAAAAACTGTCACAACCCTGTTAGGACGGGTTTTTTTGTCGGTAGGCAAGGCTCCTGAGTGTCAGCCTCTCTTTTTCACTTGCATTTTCAGATGCATATACAAATACACATGCATATATAAAAAAAGATAGAGATATAATATATAATTCAATTGTATTAAAATATAAAT